TATTAGGCAATTTAATGCAAAGGTGCAAGCGAGCTGGACAAGAATGACGAAAATAAACCCTGGAGAAGGGGAACAAGAGGGACAAAGGACAAACACAAATCTCCAAACACAGCTAGGTGACTGGTGCGCGACCGAAAAAATCCGCCTGGTCCCGGTATCGAACCCGGGACCTCTCCATTACAGGTGGAGCGCTCTACCAATTGAGCTAACCAGGGGTTAGACATCAGTAGAGCAAACGGGTTTTATCAGCCGCCACCAGTCTAACACCAACAAGGGTGAAGCTTGCAATTTAAGGTAATGATTATTATGCAATTTAATGCAAAGGTGCAAGCGAGCTGGACAAGAATGACGAAAATAAACCCTGGAGAAGGGGAACAAGAGGGACAAAGGACAAACACAAAGCTCCAAACACAGCTAGGTGACTGGTGCGCGACCGAAAAAATCCGCCTGGTCCGGGTATCGAACCCGGGACCTCTCCTATACAGGTGGAGCGCTCTACCAATTGAGCTAACCAGGGGTTAGACATCAGTAGAGCAAACGGGTTTTATGTTTGTCCTTTGTCCCTCTTGTTCCCCTTCTCCAGGGTTTACCCTCTTGTTCCCCTTCTCCAGGTGTCCCTCTTGTTCCCCTTCTCTTGTTCCCCTTCTCCAGGTGTCCCTCTGTGTCCTCTTGTTGCCGTTCCTTCTTGTTGCCCTTGTGTCCTCTTGTTCCCCTTCTCCAGGTGTCCTCTTGTTCCCCTTCTCCAGGTGTCCCTCTTGTTCCCCTTCTCCAGGGACAAACACAAAACGGAGTTTTGTGCTTGTCCTTTGTCCCTCTTTTTCCCCTTCTCCAGGGTTTATTTTCGTCATTCTTGTCCAGCTCGTTTGCACCTTTGCATTAAATTGCATAATAAGCAGTAACTAATCTAGGGCAAACACCCCAAAGAAATAGCGGCTTGCACGCGTGCTTCGCAGCACCTTATTTTGGTGATTTACTTGGAGTCTTTTATACAGGGAAGGCGAGCGCATGCGGTACGTCTACCTACATTCCTATACTCCGTTCACCCTTTAGCTGAGACTAGAAACACCGCTTTCAGCGCGAGCTCGCAGGCCTCCGCAGTGTTTTGGTTGAGCGTGCCTGCGCGTTCACATTTATACTATCAAGGGCAGAAAGCTCGCGCTGAAGGCGGAGCTTGTAGTCTAAGCGTAATTGTGAACGAAGTATAGCATTGTCCTCGATGATTGAATAATTTAGTAGTAGGTATATTGAGGTGCAACGTCATGAAGCCGTTGTTTGGCTGCCTCCAGGATGGCGCTCCCTCGAGCTAAGACAAGCACTTTACACGTACTGTATATGTTTATTGTGCACTGTACAGTCAAGGCTTGATTTCGTTGATTAGAGAACACCCGAAATTATAGTAAACAACACATTGGGAAAACCAAAGAAATTGGAGTCCTGGTGTACGCAAGCAAGTCACTGCAGAGGTCGTGTCTTAAGGGGAGGGATCCTTCGCTTAATTGGGGGGGGGGGGGGGGAGAACTTACGATAGTTTAAACAGAAGTTCAACATGGTGTTAAGGTTTAAACGAACTGATGCAATGTAGTTATCGTAGTTATGAAGTGTAGGTATGAGAAGTAACTCTTCCAGGATGACTTTTACCCGAGAGGGGGGCATAAGAAGAAAAAAGGGTTCACAGGTCGAAAAAAGAGCAGAAACATACAACATCTCTCACTAAGCTCTAAGTTAGAGATGTTTACTTTTCCGGTTTTTTTATCTACCACTGTCAAACTATTTACTCGTCCTCCAATCTTGGTTTAAAGTAATTACGGTAAACTTCCACCCACTCGCTTGCGCACTGACTATTTCAGTTAAAGGAATCTAATCCTAGGCGCATGTTTTTTGAAGCAAGAATTATGAACACTCACTCCTGATGGCTACAAACAATATCCATTTGTTCAAAATTTGCACAATTGCAACCTATTTTAGTTAATGTGCATTCACACGACGTTTCTCCATCTATACATTGCCACACCACGAATATTCGTTCTAAATACCATGTCGCTTATTCTAATTTAGAGCCACAGAAAACAAAAAGCATTGTGCACACAGATTTTTCGTCAAACTCTAAACGGGGGTTAGACTAAAATTAACAATATGCAGAACAAAACCGCTGCTCAACGCTACCAGAAGAGCGCATCAGTTCTTTCTTTTGTTCGCTATAAGAACACGGAGATGTCTCAGCTTTGATCCCCGTCGCTTTCCGTGTTTTCGCTCGCTCCCTCTTTCTTTCTCCTTGATTTCCTAGTGCCAGTTTGTTAGATACAGTCCTAGAAGACAGCGTGAGAAAAAACTATGCCACACGTAGAATGCGCTATAAGTATGATCCGCCTTCACTGAGCTCCTGTGTTCATTTTGGCGACGTTTTTTTTCACACTGTATTAGCCAAAAATATTTCTAAATGCCGGCGCTAGCATATGTGCCAGGGCACTTATATAGTGTGAAACAAGCGCACACGTTAGTGCTCACGCGGGAATGAAATGTAGATGTAAACAAAGTCATGGTGATAATAGAACAAATAGATTAGGTCAAAACACAGAACAAATATTGCTCGAGCATGCGCTTTGCATTCCACGCCAGTTTATAGTGATTTAGAAGCAGCTCACACTGCACTATTCAGCAATGGCGTGAAATCAAATGCAAGAGCATTTAGCGTGTACTAAATGAACGGTAGACATACCACCCTAAGGCTTTGGAGGGGTACGATATTCTGAAAGACGCAGAAGCGGATATCAGTTATGCCATACAAGTGCCCCAGGCAGTGCCGACCACGTTATGGTACTCACTGATGAAGTTTCGTCACACACGATTGGTAAGGTGATTAACGAACCGACTGTATCAGTGTTGTCTACTTTACAGCATATGAGAGGGGGGACTTCGTGTGACGTATATGTTTTATACAAGCCGCTGTCCTCCTTTGATGAGTCTAAGGGCCGGTTGCACCAACGTCGCTTACCTTAACCCAAAGCGGCTCCTTCTTAAATCGGCTTAGCGAGCTAAACCGAGCTCGGATAAGCACGGGTTTAAAGCGCCCCTAGCTAAACGTTGGATTTGCGTAGGGAATCTAGGGACAAACAGAGCGAACTAGGGAACGCTCAGAGGGACGAATACGATTGGCTGAGAGGAATCACGTGATGTAAACAAAACACCTGCCGTAGTAGTCGTCGTCGGCGTCTGCTTTTCGCTGTATTTCTTCGTTGAGTAACAAATTAAAGGTCTCCAAATTCAATCATTTTTTCGTTTAACTTCAATAACAGAAGTCAAAGCTTCAAATAAAGACGAATGCTCTTTACATCTGTGATTGTGTGTTTAATATCAGTTGATCACAGGATATTTTGACAGTGGTAGTAGTTTTCGTTTTCACATTTTGAGGTGAAGGAGCCATCGGGGGCCCCAAATCTCACCGAACACGAGAAGGACACTCTACTCGCTACATCGCTGAAGACAAAACATCATCGATATAAGTAGGCGGGTAAGATGGCTACTAAAATCAAGTCAAGCCTGAGACCGATGAAGTTCAAAACAGTAACAAACTCGCCACGGCAGCTGCGAAAATGCCCGGAAATCGTCGAATAGAAGTCTTCGAGTGGTCAGGTCACGAGACCTTGCATCGACGGTACTCGTTACTATCAGCAGGGTGACAGAACTGCACTGTACCATCGTTGAACATCCGCTGCAGCCTCAAACGGACTTCAGTTTCACACTGTCAAGTTCAGAAAAAAAAAATACTCCCACTAGTACATCACATCGTGCCGATAAGAACGGTGGTCTCTTCGCATCGCCTGCCCCAGCCTACCGCGATACAGCAATGAACGAATCTAGCATAATAGTCGCTACGATTTGTCGTCGCCACGAATGAAAGATATAAAGCAAAATATTCCTAAAAAATCGCGATCACCACAAAAAATTATGGTTATGGAACGATACAGTTTTCTGAAGTCAAGATTCTACTCCCGAGATTATGAAAATTCACTGAAGATTGTCTCAAAACTCAGAAAACAAAAAAAATTGAATTTTCGCTGTTTTATTACTTAAAAGCGCCGCAATCTAATGCAAACGGCAGAGGTGTCGACAATCAGCTGATCGCCGAGATCATGTACTGCCACTATTCAACGCGCTGATCGAATTGAAGGATACGCGCTGCAAGTATAAATAAACAAGGTGGTAAATAACAATACGTTACAGTTATGCGAAAATTAGTAAGTACATACGAATAAGCTCGTTGACAGAAGAACCAACGGGAAGACAGAGTGAGCCCCGTGAGCCCCACAGACCGACAGCTCCGTACGTATCTCGGTTAGGGATAACACGCCTTTAGAGCGGAGAGCCGACGTGAAAACAGGGGTCGATAAACACTTCACTCGACAAAATTTTGCATCCTTGTCACAATCGAAGGTCACTCTGTCGAAACTTTCACGCTGATGTAGCCTAAAACACTTTGCACAACCAATTTCGTGCACCGCGTCGACCGCGACAAACCAGCCGCCATGTTTTAAATCCAGGATTAAGAAACAACCAAAAGCGCCCAATGTTGAGCGCTCAAGTTAAGCGTAGTTTAGTGCTAGGTTTAGCGATAAGCGATTTTGGTGCAACTGAACGAAACCGAAACTTAGCTTAGGTTCCCGGCTGAGCTCCGCTTTGCGCTAAGCGGCGTTGGTGCAACCGGCCCTAAGTGGCGCAAATAACTTCAAGTCTTATAGATTGCGATAGGTTTGGTTTCCGAGAGCTTCTGATAACGTTTGCTCTCTATGTTTTGTTAAAGTCGTGATTATGTTAGGATTGTGTGAACGGAGGCGATATACCCAATTTTCTAGGAGCGTTCGCGTGTTTAGGACAATTCTGACTGGTGGTCGCTATCAGTTCAACCCGTATCATAATTAGGGGCAGAGGGACTTCTCATAATGTAATTTTTGTCGCGGGAACGCGGAGTGTTACTAGACGAGTAGGAATAATACGATACTCACTGGAAACCCGTTGGCTCGATGCTGCTCACGTGAACTCCGAATGGATCGCACTCTCTACGTAGACCCTCGGCCAACGAGGACGTGGCATGCTTGCACATGCAGTACACCGTGGCACCCGGCAGTGTCAAGTGAGCTGTGACACACAACAACGACATGAAAAATGGTCAATACAGAAATGTCTAGCACATTTTGATTAGGGTAGAAAAATGAAAACTGGAATCGAGTGCGTGGCAGGAGTACGGCCGGTCTACGAGTGTTCGGTTTCTTTGGAGTTCATTATTTGTCATTTGTGGATTGCCATGGAAGCAATTTAGGCGTGATCTCACAGAACATGAAGACACTTCAATTTGATTTACTCTTTTGTCGACGTCTCCGATACCTTTTCCGACTCAACTCCACAATTTTAAACATTGAGTCAAAACTTTACGTTGTACGAAAATAGAGCGACCCCTCTGGACACCGAAAATGCTTTACTTGGATCGGCGTATAAAATAAGAAGTTTCTAGAAAGAGTTTCGTAGCAACCCAATATATATTTTCAAAGTAAGCCAATGCAAAATATGGTAATTAGGCTTCATAAATTTACTCCTGAATTTCTTCCATCGTAAACAAAAAGGTCATCAAAAATGAAGACTTATCGGGTCTGCTGTCCAGCGCCATTCAAGCAACACAAGGCACGTTCACTGCTGAGTAGACGCACACAGCAAGCGCGCTTTGACCGATGTTGGAGCATCGGTTGAGCAGAAGGACCGCGTCATCATTCGTAAGAGGCTGACATCCAATCAGAGTTTTGCTTCGGTATCATGTCACAATAAAAAGTGCGGTGAGGTTTTGCGGTGAGAGAAGAGGAGTTCGTGAACATTATCGAGATGGCCTTAGTTCTTCTTTCAAATATAATGTTCACATCATTCCACTGATGCGCTCTGTGATTTTAGAGCCCTACCTCAAGTTGCTTTCACATTACCGTCAAAGTAGTAATAAATCAAACTAGATCATTAAAAAAGCAGGTCAAAATATATTTAAGATCGCTCTACGTCACTCGATGAATAATCCACCCGTATACGATGAGAGACCAGGCATTTCCCGTTACCTTAAGGGTATTTCTATAATCTTCTAGGATGATTTTTTTCTTCAGAATAACACGCGTTGTATAACCTTATATCTTCATTATACCGGGTATTGGTGAGAAATTTAAACCCGGCTTTTTGCACCGAAAAAAAAAAAAAAAACTACACATTGCGGGGGGCTTTAACTCTGTCAAAATGTAGCTCAGCCGTTTGAGCAGGATGTCAAAATTTCAGCACCCACTGTAATCTTATTCAAAAGTTATAAGCGATTTTCTGACAATTTGAATGGAAAAATGGTGGCCGACAGAGCTCTCGAATACATGGAGCTCTGAGGCGCCGGAAACTGAAAACGGCCGAAAATTGGCTCACTTTCCCATTGAGAATGAAAAAAAAAATCACTTATGGTTTTTGATTAATATAACGGTTGGTGCTGAAACTTTGGCATCTTGCTCGAACGGCTGGGGCTACGTTCTGACAGAGTTTGAGCTCTCATCGATGTTAAGTTTATTTCTGCGGTTCGAAAATCCGGGTTCGGATTTCTCACAAACACCCGATATCTTCTCCAACAATACTCGCGATGTTTCGCGGATCCACGATTTGCCGTTGGTCTCATTTCGTTAAATAATTTTTTTTTTCTCAGGACAAAATTTTTAAAATATAATTTTTACAAGGTGTACGGCGAGCAAATGTTCCTAATTACGTCTTTAGCAGATCAGAACGCAAGAAGAGACACGCCAATCAAAAGGCAACCTAGACAACACGTAAAGAGCGCACGGTGACTGGACACCCAAGCGCAGGCTGTTATACGTTCAGATCGGGGGAATCAAAAACACAAGTGCGCATTTGACGGAAAAACAAAACGCGAATGAGCTTTTTTTTATTTTTACACGTTTGTGTTCTCAATATTGATTTCAGGATTTTATCCTGGTTAGAGTTTTTCTTAGCTAATCGATCACACTTTGCATCCGTAAATGACAATAACTTTATGCGTCGGTCAGTGTTAGCTCCGGCAATAACTCTAAATAAAAAAAAAGGAGGAAAGTTTAATCCCAGCCCTTCTCTCCCGTTCCTCCTTTTCCTCCTCTTAAAAAAGTCGGCATACGCTCTCTCCCCTATAGCTTTGGCTATACCGCACAGTTTTATTAGGTATAGGTGGCACTTTGATTGGCACTCCTCGCTTTCCGATGCACCAAAGACGAATTTCTAAGCCCCCGCTTTTCGTATAGTTGTATTTAATGATCGTGTTACTTATCGCGAATTTGCTAACATTTCGGATGTTCACGTAATTAAACCTGATATTCAGGCTATTGCCTCGTGGCGTGATTCTTGCTAAATGAACTTAAACACTTAAAAAAAAGACATGTCAACGAGAATCTCCCGTAAAACCATAGCTTCTCCTCTCTACCACTTGTCAGATAATCTTGAAATTGTATCATCTCATGTATAGTTGGTTGCTCAGACTGCTTCTGATTTAGCACGGAAAAGTCATATCAAATGTGTTATTAACAACAGCAATCGCGTGCTGGGATACATAAGACGCAACTTTCTTTTAGCCCCACTTTTAAATTAATAACTCATAAAACTTGGGTACGAAGAGAGCTCGAATATGCATGCCAAATCTGGAATTCTGGTACAGTAGTTTCTATATCAACACTTGAAGCCATTCAAAAACCGGTCAGATCGCTTTATTCTTCGTAACCACAACCTTAGGTCGAGTCACGTTTTTATTGACTTCCACCATGTTAAATTTTGACTGTACCTAAGTAGGGGCAAAATAGCAAATTGCTTTATTTTCCGATTGGAAGGCGCCAGAATTCGAGGATTTCGTGCAAATAGCTATAGTTTTTGTTGGCTATACTTTTTATTCTAATCATGCTTAAACTATACACTGTTGTTTTTTCGCGCAAATGAATTTCGTAATTTTTCAACATGGCAACCGCCACATGAACATATAGAGGAGCTTTCCCATGCTGCGCGGCCGAGAAATGCCTAACGTGGTTCAAGTTTCGCAATAATAAGGTCCTATCTTGGCCCCAGTAAGGTTCTGTTCCAAGGCGTTAGATAGGGCCAAAGTGCGTTTTTTTTTTTTTGTGGCAGTTCTTTGGTTCTCCACATAATTGCCATGAAGTCAGATATGAGAAAAACTGCCAGGTATCTACCGAATAACAAGCAGAGAGGCTTAATTCCGGATGTTGTTAGATAATTTTGGCTCAACGTTTTTAGGTGAAAAACGAAGCACAAGTGAATCCTAAGTCTTGCAATTCCTCGGGAACTGGGGCACAAAAAAGTCAGGTAACACCCGAGCCACCAGGCAGTGAAGCCGAACTCTGGCACTTGTTTGGTTATTTACGGCGAGAATACCTTGTTTCTGACCAAAGAATATCAAAGTAAGTTGTACCTGGGCTGTTGCAGTGACTTCAGGGCCCTAGATTGCCAAACACACGCCAAATTTCTGCCCAAAGTACTGTGCCATTTTTGGTTCTTTAAGGAGGGCGAAACACAAACCCAATAAGCTTGTCATCACCACGAGGCGCCCCCGTGACTTCCTGAGGAGGGGCATGAACTTCTTGGAGACTCTCACGGCTCCCAGGACGTTCACGTCGAAGGCGGACCGGATGCTTTCCAAGTTCTGCCACTCCACCAAACCGACGTCGAGGGTACCGGCGTTGAGCACAACTGCCCACAGCACTACGAGACAAAAATAGAGAACACGCGGGATTGTTTATTTATTCTCTTCATCCGCGTGGCATGTTTATGATAATATGATTTTGGAGTCTTCGCATGCAAAATGATTTCACTACAATCAATTTAAGAGTCATCGATCTTCCTTACCAACTTGCACTAAAATATATTTAAAGCACAATAAATAAATTAATGCTTAGATGACTTACACGTAAAAACGCTAAGATGAAGTTTAGTAATCGGGTGCGTGAAGAAAAGGATATCTATATACGTTACCACACTAGTTGTTGGCCACAAGATAATAAAGCTAGGAGATAATTAAAATTTATTGTCATTTTAAATTCGAAAATACGTAAAAATAAAATTTACATACATCATCACAAAAGTACTTCATTGCGGCGGCACGAAATGATACCTCTGGGAACTAATAGATTTCCGCGTGATTGCTCAAGGAAAGGAACATCTGAACTTGTAAGTTCGCGTTTGTACCGGCAACCCCCCCCCCCCCCCCTTAAACACACACACACACACAAACACACTCAGTTTTTTAGACACGCATACTACACTAAGTCTGTGCTAGTGTGTCCTAAGATCACGGGTCGTTCGAAGACAGAGTGCTTATGACAACTCGAAGGAAAATTTATCGCATAGGAAAAGTCGTCAGTATTTAGGTTTGGTGTTACTCCCAGTTTTACATTGCTGTAAAATTGTTTTCTTGTTCGAATTTCCGATGGATTACACTTTTTAGATTACATTCAATTTAAAACACAACCTATCGAGATGACGTGTGCTTTCAGACTGTTAGCGTGACTGGTTTGTCATCATGAACATATTCTGCTTAATTTTAGTTTATGATTTTTTCAAATGGTTATCGCGAACAATGTTACTGCTCGGTTGACTCCTTAAAATAAATTATAATGAGTTGTGAACAAATCGGTGGTATTAATACATATATTCCTTACAAAAACAAAAATCCTAATTTGATCAATGATAAAATCACTCTTCTATTTTCGTATTAAATTGATTTCACTTGCGTTACAATGCGAAAAAAACAGTCAAGATAGACTGGCATATTTAGACGAGATATTATAGGGACCATCACCCTTTGGTGAATTTATCCACGGCCCTAAGCAAAGACTTGCACGAAGCAAATGATCTTAAAGAGACCATAAAACGATTCTGAAAAGGAATTTCATCCACCGATCGTCGTAAAAGGCGTGGAAGGAAACACAAAAACACAAAAATAGAGAACCAAAAAAAATTCTTCGCTATAGAACTTTTAAAAGAAAACTGGACTCTTTTGCGGCTTCTTTCCTTCGAAAGCTCTCTGCCTTTTCACTGCGATGCATCCGTGGAACCGCAGCACGTCAGCCGAATCCACGTCGCCTATTGGGCAAGAGCCTATTTCACCAGCACCGCGATCATAAACAATAAATAGCCGACGAATATTCCCTAAAAGTTTTGTTAAATAATATTCAGATCCACATTTTGTAGCATAATTAGAGGTCTGACGAAAATTGTCAAATTTGATAATGATGATGATGATGATGATGATGCCGCTGTTCGCTTTAGATCGGGCGGGCTCGAACAATAATCATGCCCAAGCCTGGGGGCATTTGCGTGTTGTTGCCCCCTAAGGTAGATCTTTTTCCACCAGTCCTCTAATCGTCTCTTTGTTGCCTCCACCAACGGCCTGTGTGGGCCACTGGAGGCCGTAGTCTCGTTCGAGGCAGGCCTGTCCGCTGGTGCGGCTGGCCTAACCTCAATGGTTTGGTGTCCCTCTCTAGTAACAGTGAAGCCCAATACTTCGGCAAGCTCCAGAGGGTTTGAAGGTCTCGGTCGTTGTCTCGTGACCGGGATGGCCGGAGTCCTGCACATTCCAGTACAATGTGTGCTGCTGTTTCGTCGTGGGCCCCGCACACCCGGCACACGCTAGTGGTCACGGTAGAATCGAAGTGTCGTCTGTAAGACAGTTATTAGTGCCCCGGCTCGTGCCTCAAATAGCAAACGACTACCCAGGCTATTATCGTATAGCCTAGCCTCCGAGCCCACGGTCCTCTTTTTTGCAACATACACAATGAGCGTAGTCTTCAATTGGGCATCTTTGAGCCACTGCTGTGTTTCCTGGTCGCGAACCTTTTTCCGGACCTCTCTTTTCCATTCCCTGGCCGACGACGCTTGGACAGGGTCGGCAAAAAAACGGTACTTGCTTTCAGGCTGGTATAGGCGTTTCTGCCAGCGGGTCTGCAGCCCAGTCAGTTGAGTGCACCTGAACAGCCTTTTGGCCCACCGGCAGGTGTCCATATGTCGGAGACGTCCGTCGTAGGCGATTTTGCTGGTAGCTTCAGGGCTTCAAAAGAGGACCATCCCAAATCACCCTGGAGAGCCTCATTTGCTACTGTACCATGAGAGCCTAGCGTTTGGCGCCCGACCTTCTTTTGCCTACGTTCTAAGTGAGCTCGGATATCTCCAGGGACACACACCACAGCGTTAGCAAACGTCAGTCCTGGTACCACTACCGTCTTCCACAGCTCTCGGGTTACAACGAATCTATTGCAACTCCAGAGATTCCGTCTGAGCAGAATGCTGGTTCCTCTGATGGCTGCTTGGCGGAGTTGGGTGTGGTGCTCTTGCAAGTAGTCCACTGTATTTGTGAGTGTAATGCTTAACTACCTGTACGAATTCATTACAGGTACACAGTCCACCTCGAGTCAAAGACTGCCAAATGTTGGGTCTTGTGGACCTGCAAACAGCACCGCTGCTGACTTGTTGGCGTTGAATTTCAATCCAAGTTCTGTTGCTACCTCGGTACAGATATCTAGGACTTTCTGCATGTCGCAGACTGATGCCGCGGTCAGTACGACATCGTCTGTGTAGGTAAGTCCGGGTAGAACCCATTCGACGGTCAGACCATCTTCTAAGTGAGCCAACGAGAAGCCCAGTCCAGATCGGATAAGTTGTGTTTGGTTGGTTACGTAAAGCATGTACCATAGTGGAGAGAGCGGGCACCCCTGACGTAAGCCCCTTGTCTCCAGCACTTCTCAGAGTTAGCCTCATCTAACCGTGTTTCAAATGTATAGGCGGTGGATGAGGGTGACCCACTCTGGTTGGGTATCAAGATGTTGTAGTCGACATATCAACTGGGCATGTGGCACACTATCGTAGGCCTTGGCGACGTTCAGAAAACAACATATTAGGGTCCTCTGCTCGTTGCGGGCCACCTCAATACACTGTGTTAGCGCAAATAGATGATCTTCCAACTGGCGACCTCGTCGAAAACCTTCTTGAAGTTCCTTAAGCAAGCCTTCTTCCTCTGCTCATGCAGTCATGTGCTCCTTCAGAATATGTACGAAAGTTCTGTATATTGTGCTGGTCACAGTCAGTGGTCTGTAGTTTCAGAGGTAACGCTGGTCACAACCTTTTTTTTAACGAGAACGACATTGCCTCTCTTCCAGTCTCCAGGGACTTCTTCTATTCCAGAGGCAATGTTGTTAAAAATTCCTGCCAGCCGATCCCTTGAACCTGTCCCTAGTGCAGTGAGGACGCTTGCCGGAATCTCGTCCAGTCCTTGGGTGGTGTTACCTTTTAGGTGAGCCCAAGCGCGCATAATTGACACCCTGTCGATTACTCCACCGTTGACATCAACCGGAGTACCATCCGGATTTTGATTTGGAAAGATGTCCGGAGGTGGTTCTGCTCCCGGGGGCGAAAATATCTTCACTAGGCGGTCTGTAAGGCTATGCCCAAGTTTATCTGCGGTCAGCCTTGTGTTCTCGTCAAGTATAGACAGCCTCTGATCTCTCCCATCAAGAGTTCCAAGGTATCTCCAGAACTTTCTAGGCGCATCTCTCGCGCTTGAGCAAATGTCTCTCATTGTGTGCAAGTCAGCCTGAGACATTTCCTCCTGGACGAGTTGCTTTGCGGCTTGCTTCTGCGCCTGGTACATCTGCCATTTTACTTCGACTTTCTCTCTGGTCCCCATGTGAAGGGCCATGCGGTGTTCTCCGTTCAGTTCTTTCCGTACTCGGATGGCGGCTTGAACCTCCGCGTCCCACCAGCGCTTTCTCTGCCTTCGCCCATTTAGGGCCTTCGTGGAGTTTTGCTGGATGATTTGATTCAGTTCTTCTACGTATCCCATGTAGGTCAGCAGCACTTTTCCTCGCGGTGCTGTTTACAAATTCCTTCACAAATCTTTCAAATACACTTCAAGATAGCGTGAGACATTTGGTCGGATGGGGCTTTCGTCTTTTTGTTATCCACGTTGCTTTCGAGAATATTAGCTTGATTCGGTTATGGTCGCTTCCTATGCTGTGTTCACCAGCCTCGTCTATGTGGACTTCAACAAGATAACGAGCGAGTTTATGTGACACTACTGCGTAATCAATACATGTTTTGCTTGCACGAGCATTCCAAGTAAATTGACCCTTACATGAACCTCTTGGATTAACTACTTCCAAGGCGAGATCTTCACTCATCTGCAGCAGCAGCCGTCCATTTTCACCTTCCCAGCCATCCAGTTTGGGCAGAAGTCCATTGAAGTGCCCCATAATGAGTAGTTCTTTCGTATCAGCCAGGGCCCAAGCATCGTTCATCACGCATGTTATTAACACTTGGTTTTCCTCTCGGCGGGCAGCTCCCACCGACAGGTACAGTACGCAAGCGGCGACCGGAATACCGAATATCGCTCCTGTTACCCAGATGTGATTTCAGCACTCTCCTGGCTCCTTGTGCCATGCGGATGGGTTACGCCACACCACTCCCATCCTCCACCTCGACGCATCCCCTCCAGTCGGTTGCGTCCAGCCCAGTACCAGCTTTCCGAAGGCGGTGGTTCTTCGAGATCACTAAGGTGCGTCTCAGCTACACCGAAGAGGGTCATATCTTCTCCCTCCACTTCACCGTAGAGCTCTTCCCATTTCTGCTCCCGTCACGCACTGTGGAGGTTGAGAAATCCCACCGCTTCCGTGGTTTTCTTACTGCATCTACGTCGCCTCCGTCTTTTTTTA